TTTAATTTTTTTAAATTATTATTATTAATATTTAAGTGTAGGCCTGATGTGGGCAAACATATATATGTTAGTGTGGTGCTTGTGGAGGCAGGGACTTGTGAAAAGGCCTGTGCTTCCCCTGGCTGTCTAGCCTAGAGGGTTCTGTGCTGACTCCAGGACCTGTCTCAAAGTGCACTAAGTAAAGAGTTTGGGGCACCTCTACGTGAGCAGTGAGGCTGCTCTGATGCACTGTAATTACTCTATTGTCTCGTGTATCCATGTCCCATGCTTGAAAATGGTGGCGGTTTGCTTTAACTAAAGCTTGTTCAACTAGTTTTAGTTAAAGGCACCCCCGTCACCATTTTTAAGTGCAGGACAGTGATACTTGAGGCACTCCAGGCACTTTATTAGAGCAGCTCTCGGAGCTGCACCAACTAAAGTGACCACTCCCCCAAACCCCAGGAGCACGTGTATAAATGTCCATGGTTTTTAAGAGACACTTAAATGCGTGTAAGCCTATTTTAATGCACATTCATTAAATAGCATGTTTTAGTGATGTTTAATGCACATTAAAATGAGCTAATGTGCATGAAAGTGCACATGTAGCCATGCTTTGTTTTGAAGTGTACTTAGTGCACATTGAGACAGGTCCTGGAGTCAGCACAGAACCCTCTAGGCCAGACAGCCGGGGAAGCACAGGCCATTTCACAAGTGTGTCACGATTTTTGCCTGTCAGCAGCTTGGGGTGCAGTTCCCCCCCAACCCCTGCACTGATCTTCTTGAAACTTGGCAGGCTTTGTGGCCTCAGTAAGAGCTACCATTGCTTTTGTTTTCACCCCCGTGGTGTAACACACAGCCGTGACATGAGTTTGGCTTTCCAGAATTTGGGGTACAGTTTCCCCCAAACCCCTGCACCAATCTTCTTGAAACTTGGCAGGATTCATGCTCTTTGCAGAGGCTAGCATTTCTGCAAGTTTCATCCAAATCATACCAAGAACAACAAAGTTATAGATCTTCCATTGATTCCCCATTATACCCTATGGCCAGATCAAGGTGGAAACCGAGTCTGGAGCTCTGGATCAGATCGCAGCCATCTGAAGCAGCCGGATCCAAAGCCAGATTGAATCACTGCCTACTCGCACAGCCCTAGTGGAGAAGTGTCTCACGTCCTTGCCATGGCTCATGTGCCTTCGGCAGTGCTAGCAGATGGCAAACCTGGGATCATCTGCCACCTCAAAACGATCCCACACTACACTACTCCCCCGCTTCTGGGTTGAGGGCGAGGATCCTGCCTTTTCCCCCTTCTCAGCAGGCTGGGGCTGAACAGCAGAAGGAGCTGCCTCAGCTGACCCACTTGCCTCCACAACCTCAGCCTCCTCTGAGATGCTGCTTTCCAGAGCAGACCTGGCTCTAGGGGAAACTTGAGGAGTGTGGAGCACAAACTCTGATTCCCCCTCAGCCCCCAGAACTGCTTGAGCCAGCCCGCTCAGCATCCCTGGTTCCAGCTCCAGCTCGGGAATAGAATGTGTCTGTGTTTGGGACGGGGTCGGGGGCTTGCAGGTATAGTTACATGATACAATTAGTACATGCTAACTCTAAGGAGTTATGCTGTGTTCAAGTTAGCACATGCTGTGAGCAGTGAACAGTTCTGACCTGCTGCTAGAAGACTAGTGAGCAGGGGCATGGATAGGAGCTGCCATGTTTTCTCCCTGTGTACTCTATTTGCTAGCCCTGTAGCCACAATACAGGTCAGGGGAGAAGGGGAAGGAGGAAGGGGGGAAGGACGGTGGAATCCATCCCTACACCACTTGGATCATCAACAAAAAGTCCTTTTTAAATACATAGGGAGTATGAAGAAGGCACCGGGTAATGTGGGGCCCCTGCAGGATACGCTAGGCAATCTGGTGGTTGCACCAGAGGAAAAAGCAGACGTTTTTAACAATTTCTTTGTCTCCAGTTTTTTGTGTAGGGACCAGGACTCCCCCACCGAGATTCGAGACGGACTCAGGAGAGACTCTGCCAGACCTAGGGTCAGGAAGGACCGAGTTAGAGAATTTCTGGAGGGGCTGGACGTGTTCAAATCAGCAGGTCCAGATGCTCTCCACCCCAGGGTGTTGAGGGAATTGGCAGAGATTATCACGGGGCCCCTGGCACAGCTTTACGAGCACTCATGGTGCTCTGGCCAGGTGCCAGATGACTGGAAGAGGGCCAATGTGGTCCCCATCTTCAAAAAAGGGAAGAGGGAGGACCCGGGCAACTATAGGCCTGTTAGTCTTACTTCGATCCTGGGGAAGCTCTTTGAGAAGATTATCAAGGAGCACATCTGTGATGGGCCAGAAGCGGGGATGATGCTCAGGGGTAACCAGCATGGTTTCATTAGGGGCAGGTCCTGTCAGACCAACCAGATTGCCTTCTACGATCAAGTCACAAAATCATTGGACGCAAGTGTCGCAGTGGATGTAGTCTTTCTGGACTTCAGGAAGGCCTTTGACAATGTCTCCCACCCCATTTTTATTAAAAAGCTAGGCAACTGTGTCATTGATGCCTACAAAGTCAGATGGATAGCAAATTGGCTGAGGGGCCACACTCAGAGAATGGTGGTGGACGGGGCATATTCAGCCTGGAGGGATGTGAGCAGTGGAGTCCCCCAGGGCTCAGTCCTCAGGCCCGCACTGTTCAATTTCTTTATTAGGGATTTGAACAAGGGGGTGAAAAGCACCCTTTTTAAATTCATGGATGACACCAAGATTTGGGGCGAGGTGGGCACACTAGAAGGGAGGGACAGGATACAGCTGGACCTGGACAGGTTACAGGGGTAGGCAAATGAAAATAGGATGGGATTCAATACTGACAAGTGCAGGGTGCTGCACTTGGACAGTAAAAACCAGCAGCATACCTACAGGCTGGGGACCTCTGTTCTCAAAAGCACAGTGGCAGAAAGAGATCTTGGAGTCATTATTGATTCCAGATAAATATGGGCCGCCAATGCAAGGACACTGTCAGTAGGGCTAACCGCACCTTGTCATGCATCCACAGATGCATCACAAGCAGGTCCAAGGAGGTGATCCTCCCCCTCTATGCAATATTGGTCAGGCTGCAGTTGGAGTACTGCATCCAGTTCTGGGTGCTGCACTTCAGGAGGGATGTGGACAGCATTGAGAGGGTGTAAAGGAGGGCCACTCGCATGATCCGGGGACAGCAGGGCAGACCCTACGAGGAGAGGCTTTCAGACCTTAACCTGTTCACCCTTCACAAGAGAAGGCTGAGAGAGGACCTGGTAGCCATCTATAAACTTACTAGAGGGGGACCAGCGGGGAATGGGAGAGACCTTGTTTCCCCGAGCGCCACCCAGAGTAACAAGGAATAATGGCCATAAGTTGTTTGAGAGTAGGTTCAGGCTGGACATTAGAAGGCACTACTTCACAGTCAGGGCGGCTAGGATCGGGAACTTCCAAGGGAAGTGGTGCTGGCTCCTTCCTTGGGGGTCTTTAAGAGGAGGCTTGACGATTACCTGGCTGGGGTCATTTGAGCCCAGTTTTCTCTCCTGCCCAGGGCAGGGGGTCAGACTAGAAGATCTACAAGGTCCCTTCCGGCCCTACATCTATGAATCTATGGATCACACCACTATCACCCCCCTACTCTCCTCCAGATCACCCCTTGCCACCCCAATCAGACCAAGAATATCAACTGACTTCCTCTGTCCCCCTCCTCCTAGCCCTTCCCCCTACTGCCCTTCCCCATTCCTCCCCTTCCCCCTGGCCTCTCCAGTCCTGCCCCTGTTACCCCTTCCCCCACACCCCTCCCCAATTACCCATGGCTGAGATGTCTCTAGCTGTCAGTCCAGGACTGTAGGAGTTCTGGATGTTAGCTAGTCCACACTGGGAATGGTGTTTTTTGGGATGTTGAATGACTGCTAATTCATCATTTTATGTCAGTGAAACAGCCAGAAGTTAAGGTAACTTGAGCCAGATAGTAGGGTTCAAAGATAATCCTCACCTGAAGTGGTGTAAATTTAAGACGCTTATAGGGCATTTAGAATTTGTTAACAAGCTTTAAACATGCAGACACCCTTAACATTGTCTAATTGTAATGTGTAACATCTCTGTAAGTCAGGGGTGTCAAACTCATCTGGTTGCATGGGCAGCATGGGGCTGGTCCACAGGCCAAATCAGGCCCACAAGCCCCCTCCCACCCCAACCTGCAGTCTTAATCTACCACAGGCAGCAGTCACCCAGGTACTACATGCAGGGATGGTCCTGCCCAGCAAAAGAGGCAGCACCAGGGGCTGGATTATGGGACTCTGCAGGCTACTCCTGTCCTAAATGATATATTTTCTTCTAATTCAACTTCCACCCCCAGAGGATACTCTCAAGAAATTAGCCAACTGATTAGTTGCATTGAAGTTGAAAGCATAATTTTTGTTGTTATTATTTTTAATATTTCTAATATAATTTGACACCTTCTAGTTGTTCGGTCACTAATGCATGGAACCTTATGATCTTGTTACCACTTCCTTACGTTGTCAGCAATTGCTCCTCTACCTACAGTAATTCAAATGAACTTTCAGTTGTAGAGAAACCTGTAGTCAGTCCATCTCCTTCTCCCAGCCCCATCCCTTTCTCCTTTTCCCTTCCCCTCCCTCTCCCACATGCACACACACACACCTCAACTAGATTGTGAAATTCTATAGGGAAGGAATTGTAATGTCTGTATTAGACACTGTGTTTTTGTACAGTGTCTAACACAACATGGGCCAGTCTTGACTAACTGGTACCTTTGGACCCTGCTACAATGCAAATTCATTTGTATCAAAACTAAACCACTTCTTTTAAAGAGTTAATTCATTCAGAAACAAAGGTTGAAACCAAGCCAGCTGGAATGGCTTTCAAGGAAGGTGGCAAGAGAACATGTTGAAAGACCAGAGTAACAGGAAAAACTTTAAAAACAAATAGGGAGCGTGGGTGGGAGAATAAAAGGCAAACAGCTAGGGTAGAATTATCAGCAGAACCTGAAGGATATGGAGTACTTAAAAGGGAACTATACCGACGAAGAGAAAAAGAAAACCAAGGACAAGGTGCAGCAGACAAGGTTTGGTTACCTCTGAGTTTAAGAAATTTAGAATCTAGACGCAGTCGAAAAAAGGAGAGAAACCAGCTTTAATAAAACCCTGAGGGAACCAACAAAGTTAGAACAGGGAGAGAGATGGCAGGTCTGGAGTAGGTTTAGGCTATGTCTATAACAGGATTACTTTGTGAATATGGGAATAGCAGCATACTGTTCTGACAATGCACTCCTAGTGGTGAGCAGCTATACCAACAAAACTGCACTGTATTTAGTAACTGGTCTCCCAGGAGCAAAATGCAGCTTTACTGCCATTGTTATGTTTGTACTAAAGCCTTGTGCCTGCATAGCTATATAAAGCAAGGTTTTCCACGCCCCTGACTAACATGTCTAATCAAGCAGATGCCTACTATAGACAACCTAAAAGGAAAAGAAAAAAAAGGAAATGAGTGACATTGAGAGAAAGTGAGATGACTGAAATGGGAATGAACTGATGAGCACTGCCACAGGACAAGTGCAATCACTGGAGTTGTGTGCAAAGATCATAGCCATAAAGAAAAGGTTAGATTAGACTATGCTGCATGCAAAAGGTGAGGAGGTTGATGTAGCTCAGAAGACGATGATTATAGGATTTGGCAAGTTAGCAGCAACTCAGGGAACATGCACAAAAAAACTTTGATACTATGGATCTGATTGCGCTGGGTTGCTCCATGGGCATCATGGGAGGGGGAGCATAGAAAGAACCCTGTTGATCTCCTACTCAGCAGTCCTTCAATTCCCTAAAGGGACTGATTTCTGCTAATATACCTTCAGGCAAGATGCACTAAAAAGGGTATGGGAAGAACAGCGCAATCTCCCACTTTTCACTGCACCATCCCACAGAGGTGGCTGGTATAGCAGAGAGTACACCATAACCTCTGAAGCAGCATGCTAGTAGATGCACTCCAAGAAACAAACCAAATGACAGGAAAATACAGCTTTGGGTATCTGTACAGGTACCATGAACTTCACCAAACACATCCTATTAAGCTTTTATCCTTTCCTTGCTATTATTTTTTGCAGCCTCTCTGTATCAGGTGAAGTATTTACAAGCATTTCCATGACATAAGTTACCATTACACCTGATTTCTTAGGAGAAGCAATGTTGCAGTATTTCATCAAGTCACAGTAGGGTGAGGAATTACTATTGTGACTGATAAAATTAGTCAGAAGGGGAGAAGACAGGTCAGGACTAGGTGTTCCTGCCAAGGCTACAATCTCAGCAGAAGCAGCATGAAAAGCAACAGCAATACAGGATGTATCTTGTCCTATGTATCTCTTGTACTATGCTTTGTATCTCTTGTACTATGTATACTTGTACTAGTATCTCTTGTACTATGCTTTGAGTACTTGCACATCTTTTCTCTACCAACTAAACTTCAATCTTCAAATTGTTGGGATTATCTTGCCCCCTAGCGGCTAGCCCATAAAATTCATATACAATCAGATTCAATCCAGGTGTGCAGTGACATAAATCGGATTCCCTTGAATCTGCTTACATGGTCCGACTGGAATGTCAGGGATTATAAACAGGTGTGGTGTAAAAAGGCGCAAGTTAAATTACACCTTCTGTCCTCTGCTTTAAATTACATATATTACATGCAATCCCTGTATGTCATTATACTCTGCTCAGAAACATTTCTGGTTCACTGGCATGTAAGTTAAACAATCTGGACTCCTTCAGGTTTAGTAAGTATAAGTAGAACTGTTTGGAAAAGTTTTCAGTTGCTATAGAAATCTGATAACTAAAATATTGCTTGAAATTCTAGTGAAAAATGTTCACTTTATCAGAAAAAATTGAAAATGTTTCAGTTCTGTTTTCTACGAGAACTCAGAATTTAGGAAAGTAAATACTTTCTGCTTTCTTGAATTGAAAAAACAACTTTACAGCAAAAATGTTTTGATAAACAGCTCTAAACATATTGATAAGTGAAAATCATAGTAAACCAATAGGAATCAAAGCTGGATTAACAGAAATTGAAGGGTCCTAAAATATATGAATGGTATTAATTTAGGTAGTCATTAACATTATCTATTCAAACAAGTGAGTTGGAGATATGAAAGTTACACCTTCTTATGCTCAGACTTTCTAAAAGGATTTAAGCTAGTTTACAAGGATGTAACGTATTTCCTTCTGCATGTCTCCTGTGAGTTTGGTTCTCAGATTTACCGGAATTTGGTCTAGTAGATTTAAACCACAGGTTAATTTAATTTATAAATCATGATGAAAGGAGAGAGAAAAAACTGTGTTTTTTTAGCCTCATTTGTAGCGTGTCCTACTTGGAGACTATAAAGCTAACAAATCCTTCACTTAGATTTAACATAATGGGTCAGCATCCAAAACTGACTTCTGATGAACTAGCTGCAGATGTGGTCCAGTATCTTCTCTGTATTTTACTATGTGATCGTTCCCTCCTCCTGATAGCCTAACTATCTGTTCTCCCCGACACTCTGTGGAGAGCTGTACATAAAAGTAGGAAAAAGTGAGATGAAACCATTTAATAAACAACTTTTTGCCTGAAAGCATACTTCACGTTCGTCCTTTGGGCTCTACAATGTGAAATTTCTTGACCATATCTCCTCAAAACAATCTTCAATGGTGAGCTTGGCTATTGTTAAACACTGTAGGACTGACTAATGAAATAGAATTTCTACCTGAAAATCTTCAAAGCAGTCCCTGATACAAAGACCTTGTGTGGAAGACCTAGCCATGGCACCAAAGTAAAATTGCAGTCTCTCTTAGGATTGGATAGTCTCCTTGGATTTCACCAGCCACGACTTAGATGTTAAGGAAGGAATCAAACAAATACAGTCCTGGGGGACAAAGCTGATGCTAATTCCTGCAACTTAAAAGTATGGCTCCTCTTCACAGGGCTCCATCATCCCCATACCCTGTCCTTACCACATTAGATGTTCCTGCATTGATCTCATTAGGTCTTCTCTGTGGGAGTCAGATTATCTATGCTACCTTGCTTGATGTCCAGGCAGCTGTTTCTGGCTGTCGGCCTTTTGTCCCATTCTTCATTTCTGTGGTCACAAATATACAGTCATACATCCTCCCCTTACCCTTATCCTTCAGAGAGGGGTTGTCTTGGGCCAATGCCCAAAGCTCACATTCTAGATCCACCTCTCTTTCTTCCTTTTCCAGACCTCCGGGACAAAGCCCCAGACCAACCGGACTCAAAATCACCAGCTTGGCTGCAACAGCTTCTTCATTGTCCCTGCTCTTCAGGTGAGTCTGTTTGTATAACACTCTTCAGAGGCTCCCTGGCTGGCAACACACCATCATTGCAGCTCTGTGCTCCCCCAAGCTTCCCTTGGTGCTGCTCCCCTCACCAGAGGAGAGCTGTCTGCTCGGTTGGCTTTCTTTTAAATTCCCATGTCAATCAGCTGTGTGCGAGGTGACAGTATCCCATTCACTGTCCTGCCAGTCCTCACAGGTGATCACAATAATTAGCATTTGGGGATTTCAATACGTCTTTTCCCCCGTCCAGGCTTGCCGCCACACTAAGTTTCTTTTCCCCCTTTGTTCTTTTGGTGTCTCGTGACAGGGTAGGCTTACTGCTCTGTCACACCTTGCAAAGAAACCGCAGACTCACTGAACTGTTCACCAAGTTGCTGACTTAATGGCCAGGAAAGTCTTTATGGTCATGCTTTTTTAAAATTAACCTGTCAAACTTTAAAAGAATTCCCCTTGAGTGTTAGTGACAAGTGCCATTCTTTTATTTCATGTGCAGTTTCCTTACTGTATTTTGGTTGAACAGAGAATGGATTGTTGGAAGAAAGGGCAAAGTAGCAGCTGGATTTATCCCACGCTGATCCTCTGTATATATGGATTTTTCTACACAATGAAGCCACTGGACTCTTTTCTAATTCCCTATCTAACAGGACCAGACAAAAACCTGACCATTGATGAGGTATGGCATTACACAGTCTTTCCCATTAAATGGCACAGCAAATAATGAATGTGTTTCCTGATTTGTAGAGAATTTAAAGACATACCCTCTACTTCCTAACACTGAATAGGAAAAGATTTATGCACAATTTCCTGAGAAAAATTAAGCTCTTGGTCTTAAGCTCCTGAAATCTTCCCTAAAAAGGGCAAATGAGCTCATGTGAAGACAAGTGAATAGTCAGGTGGCTTATACAGTTACAAAAGGTAGAATAGCTAAAGCATTTAGCTATGGCTCATGAGGCAGCAGACTGAGCACTATTCTGTACTCAGACTAAAAGCTGTCCCTGCCAACCCACCCATAAATGGGTGGTCAAACAGACTTGGAAGTCAACGGCCACCAGATGAAATAATATGCTAGTCACTTTTATTTCTAGAAGCTGATATACTTAAATTACACTACCTTGATGGACTATAGGATATATACCATGTAGGCTTCAGGTAAAAAAGGTTTGGCTAGCAAGGTTTGTAAATGAAATATTTAAGTCAGGCAGTGAGCAATGAGATTTGTGCTTCAAGCTCCTTTAAGTTGTGTATCTGATGCATTCCCAACAACTCAGGGAGAACAATCCTTCTTCTACAACTTCATCTGCAAATCATACAATCCTTTCCTTCCACTTCTAGGTGACAAATCATGTTTTCCCAGTTTGGACATATTCCTACCTGGTGCTGCTGGTTCCAGTTTTCCTGATCACAGACTACATGTGCTATAAGCCAATCATTATTCTCCAAGGAGTCAGCTTCATCATTACTTGGCTGATACTAATGTTTGCACAAGGAATGATAGCCATGCAAATAGTGGAGGTTTTCTATGGTCTGGTCACAGCCACAGAGATAGCCTATTACTCTTACATTTACAGCGTTGTCAGTGCTGACCACTATCAGAAAGCAACAAGCTACTGCAGAAGCATCACACTAGTTGCATCCACAGTTGGGGCAGTGCTAGGACAACTGTTGGTATCATTGGCAGACTTATCCTATTTTTATCTAAGCGCTATAAGCTTGGCTTCTCTCTCCTTAGCATTTGTTACCTCACTTTTATTACCAATGCCCCAAAAAAGCATGTTTTTTCACAGCATCTCAGACACTCCCCCAAGTTCAAAACAGGGAGAGCCAAAAGCATCCAGCACTAACGAGCAACCTGATGGCCAAGATGACAAAGACTCTGTCAAGTCAGCTGCAAACCCCAGCACCTCACCTGAATGCCATCCTAACACTGCTAAGCCACAGAATCACGTGCTGAGAGTGCTGGTGCAGCTGTTCAAGGACATGAAGGAGTGCTACGGCACAAAGAGGCTTCTTTACTGGTCTCTCTGGTGGGCGTTAGCCACTGCAGGCTTCTATCAGGTCCTGAATTATGTCCAGGTGTTATGGGACCACAGGGCACCTTCCCAGAGCTCCACAGTATACAATGGGGCAGTGGAAGCAATAGCAACTTTCCTTAGTAAGTAAACAATATCAAAAAATTTCCGGTAGTAAAAGAACTTGCATTTCAAATATACAGGCAGTCCTCAGACTTATGACATAATTGGTTTCTGAAAACTGTCTCTTAAGTCGAAATGTTGTAACTCAGAACCATTTTCCCCATAGGAAACAATGTTATAAATGGGAATTGGCTCCTGAACCAAGGCCTGATACCCTACTTTCACCAAAAATAACCCAGAATTTTGTACTCAATCAATTATAGATGAACAATATAGCTACATTAATGCATTTAATATTGTAAATAACAATCATATTGATTTGGAAGGACTTCTTTGGGGGGACTTTGCTGGACTTTTTGAAGGGCTCTTGGTTGGACTTTTTGAAGCGTTCTTGGCTGGAGTCTTCTCAGGAGTCTCGTCTGCTTTCTTAAAGAAAGTGTCCAAGGAAGTTTGGACAGATGTTCTCCAGGGACATACAATGCAAAAAACTTGTTCACTAGTGTGGCGTTGTGTCAGATCAAGCATTGTGAAGTTGAAACTGATATCAGAAAGTTCATAGTCTCATATTTGGTAGGGTCAGAAGGGACCTGAGCAGATCATCAAGTCCGACCCCCTGCCATGGCAGGAAAGAGTACTGGGGTCAAACGACCCCAGCAAGGTGATCATCCAGCCTCCTTTTAAAGAGCCCCCAGGGTAGGAGCCAGCACCACTTCTCATGGAAGTTGGTTCCAGATCCTAGCCACCCTGACAGTGAAGTAGTGCCTCCTGATATCTAGCCTGACTCTACCCTCTGCCAGCTTGTGACCATTATTTCTTGTCATTCCTGGTAGTGCTCGGGGCAACAGGGACACCCCCAATGCTTGCTGGTCCCCCTTGACTAGTTTGTAAATGGTCACTATATCTCCCTTCCTCCATGTTGTCCACATCCCTCCTGAAGTGCAGCACCCAGAACTGGATGCAGTACTCCAGCTCCAGGCTGACCAGTGCCGCATAGAGGTGGAGGATCACCTCCTTGGACCTGCTTGAGATGCATCTGTGGATGCATGACAAGGTACGGTTGGCCTTCCTGACCGTGTCCCCACACTGTCAGCCCATGTTCATTTTGGCATCAATAATGACCCCAAGATCCTTTTCTGCCTCTGCACTGATGAGAAAATTGCAGCCTATTCCTCCCTTCTATAGTGCCCACTTCTCCCCACATCATAGTGTCATCTGTGAATTTGAACAGGGTGCTTTTCACCCCCTCGTCCAAGTCGCTGATGAAGATGTTGAACAGTGTGGGCCTGAGGACCGAGCCCTGCAGAACCCCACTGCCCACATCCCTCCAGGTCAAATAAGACCCGTCCACCATCACTCTCTGGGTGCGGCCCTCCAGCCAATTAGTGACCCATCTGACTGTGTAGGTATTGACACCACAGTCTCCTAGTTTTTTAATGAGGATGGGGTGAGAGACAGTGTCGAAGGCCTTCCTAAAGTCCAGAAAGACTACATCCCCTGCGACACCTGCGTCCAAGGATTTTGTGACCTGGGCATAGAAGGCCACCAGGTTGGTCTGACAGGACCTGCCTCTAATGAACCCATGTTGGTTGCCCCTAAGCATAATCTCCCCTGCTGGCCCCTCACGGACATGCACCAGGATAATTCTCTCAAAAAGCTTACCCAGGATTGAGATAAGACTAACTGCCCTATAGTTTCCTGGGTCCTCCTTCCTTCCTTTTTTGAAAATGGGGACCACATTAGCCCTTTTCCAGTTCTCTGGCACATCACCAGAGCACCACGAGTACTCGTAAATCCATGCCAGGGGTCCCGCTATGACCTCTGCTAATTCCCTCAGCACTCTGGGGTGGAGATCATCAGGACCTGCTGAAGTGGAAACAGGGCGTCAATTTATAAACATTGTAAGTATGAAACGGAACTCAAAACCTAAGTCAAGCACTGCCTGTATCCTAACATGTTAAGTCTATGTCCAGCCAGTCCACCCATAGCACAAAAGGAGAAAGTGGGTTGTATGTTGAAATAACAGTTCATGAGAAGTACAGTACCATGACTGATTCTGGTAATACAAGGGCTCCCAACTTTGGTCCGGAGATCCTCTGTGTCCTATGCAGCACTTAACAAGTGTCTGTAGGGAGCCTAGGCTTCATAAAGTCTCTGTGTCCTGCTACTAAATTCCACTTAAAAGGATTAAAAAATGCATGGCTGATCTGCAACTGCTTTTCCATGTCTGCATTGATGCGATTGCCACTGGGATGTTATCCATTCATGAATGAAAAAGGAAGTTTCTGTGGACGCTCCATAACAGGATATGGGTCACATTAGAAAAGTTAGCAGTCCTTCTATTATATATGGTGTATATGCACATTGGGAAGCTTTCTTCTCTTGATAAAACTCCAATTTATATACAAGATTATGTTATTAAAATGAGAGGAAGATCAATTAGATTTCAAATGTAATTTTCAAGTGTTGAGGCATTTTTGATTAAAAATTGCGTCAGTTTAAGCCTCAGTTTTGAAGTGGCAGCCTATAAGGATGAAGAGCATATTAAGAATTTCTTGTGACGTCCATACCTTGCTTTCTCCTATGAATAGTCTGTCTGCCTCACCATGCTGTAAATAATGGCTGCTATATTGAGTAACTGTATGGCATGATAAACAATTATAAACTCTAATCAGATTTCCTTTATAAATCCAAATAGCCTTGTGAAAAATGTGGGGCCAGAAAATATTTCTCCCCTTTCATTTTAGGGGAATTGGTATGAGACACTGGAGACAATGGAGTTAAAAAATTAGTGGTATGATCCTGCAGTTATTGCCATCCTACAATTATTTGTATTGTTGTCCTGCAATTATTTGTAGTTATTGATCATAGTTATTTGTACCATGGCACAGCAACCTGCAAAGCAGATTCGTATAATGCTACCAAGCTTATTTGGCAGTAATTTCCATTCATTTTGCACTGGTACAAATGATAAAACAAGGCAAGAGAGTATCCTAATGGGTTTGTCAATTAGACATTCTGACAGCCATTCCTAATGTCAAATCTTACAAGGATGTGCAAGGTCACACATGGATTGTGTGGAGAACTGTCCAGGAAAACCATGCTATTGTATATGTGTTTGTGATTTCCCTCCCAAATTATCAATATTTATTAGCACACTAGATAGTCAAGACCAAATCAATATCAAAATCAATGAAAATAGACTTAGCAATGCTAAGAAAACCCCATAGACTTGGCATATTCATCAGGATTTGTTTTAGGACTCAGACTGAGCTAAAGCCACCCAAAGCAGGCTGACAAATTTTGGAAGCCATAAGCAAAACACAGCAGCTAAAGAGTCCCCCAAAGAGCCCAAGTATAACTGTATCCATCATTTGTTATTAAGAAAAATATGGCAAGAATGTTAAGATTCATCCCAAAATGACTCATCTTTTGCATGAATTAAGCTACTGTATTTTCAACTGACAATAATGGGGTCTGGGGTAGTGTGGACAGTAAGCCAGAAGGTTAACAGTCCAGATGTTGCAAGTTCAATGCCACAGCAGAAGCACTGACAGCACAGCCTGTCAGATTCCAATGAATCTGCAAATTCTGCTGAATACCTTGATAAGGACATGAAAAGGGAAGGACTGGAAATATTATCCAATATAAGATCTGTAGGTATTGCCATTTAATGGTAGGACAGTCACTATTCAAATGTTCTTATCTTTTCTCTAGGTTCAGCATCATCCTTGGGAGTAGGATATGTGAAAATAAACTGGGATCTTTCAGGAGAGCTAGCCTTGGGGATATTCTCTGCAGTGAATGCTGGTTCTCTGTTTCTCATGCATTTTACTGCCAATATCTGGGCATGCTATGCTGGCTACCTAGTTTTCAAAGCATGTTACATGCTCCTCATAACAATAGCAACGTAAGTACAAACCATAACTATTTTATTCTATGCAGAATTCTCAAACAATAAAACCTTAGATTAAGAGAAATAAAGCCTATTCTTAGATCAATTACAGATCATGCTCATCCTGAATGAGATCAATATACTACTCTCTTTTCAAATTAGTGGGTTGTTAGAGTAGTATGAAATATTCAGAAGATGACAACCACCCAGGACAGTGTCAAATACAGACAAGATGACTGAAAGAGGCCGCCTGCCAGTTGCTCCTACAGAAGGAATAAGATATAACATTTCAATATAGATAGAAAAGCTTTGAGAATTTCAACTAGAAGTTTTCACTGCCATCTTTATTTGGTCTGGTTCAGGCTATTTATTGCTGTAATCTATATTTGAGAAACAGAAGGGCTGGAATGGATTTAGGTCCCCTAAATAAGCCTACGGCTATACCTAAATACTCCCCCATCCTCCTGGGGGGTAAATTGGTACAAACACATACGTTCTTTAAAAAGCAGGCGCTGACAAATATTAAAAAATGTGTGTTTGTGTGTGTAAAGGAAAGAATCAGTGAATTCTAATGGATTTTTAAGCTATTGCTATATTTTTATAGCTTTAGTATAGAGATGACAGCTGCCTAAGCCTTGCACAATTCAGCTTCTTACCCAGATGGCTGTCAGTAGCAACTTTGTGAAATATGTTCTTAAATTAGTTTTAACATGTTTGAGGAAGAAGTACAGCACACTCTCAGCAGCTGGCACAATTTGATGCAAGAGAAACTGTTGGCTGCCTGGAGGTTGAACTCAGCTGTTTCTATAGTAATGAGCATTGTAAGCAAATGTGTAGTGAGCCTTTGCCATTATCAACACTTCTGTTTAAAGCAATAAGAGGAACTCTGACCATACTGTAAAGAAAAAAGGTGCTGGTAAGAATATTATGACTACGTCCTCATTTTTTTCTGAGAAGGAAAAGCCTTTTAGTGGATTTCAGTTCTTTCCTTATATCTGAGAGCCAAAAAAAAATTTAAAAATTGACTCAATTATATACGAACCCAGGACCCCCATTTTTCCACTGTCAAGCAAAACAAACAAAGAAACAAAAAACCAAAACAAATTGCCAACAAAATTAAAGAAAGAAAATGCTATCAGTCGTATCCTTACAAAGCAGCTCTGTGCCTCATTATGGAGTTGCAGAATTTCTCACCAGAGAAGCATATTCTCTAGAGCTGGTTGGGAACTTTCCTACAAAACATTTTTGCATTAGAAAATCCTGATTCAAAGCCAAAAACATTTACAGGAAAGGGATGGAGTTTATAAATCTGCCATTTCAGGAAAAAAAATTGAAGAAACATGTCACAATTTTTTTAAACATCCCATGTCAATACTTTCCTTAAAGGTTTTTCAGTTTAAAACAGCTTTTTCATTTAAAAAAGCTGGTTTATATAAAAAGGAGACTAAAACATTTCAGTTACTTCAAAATATTTTATTTCAACTAAATTGTTTCAGCTAAACTGATCTGATTTTTAGCCTGGGTAAGTAGTGGGAAAATAAAAGTAACAAACAAGTTTGGTAAACCTGCTTCACAATTCATCCTAATCCCATATTTTGTTTTCTTTGCTGTGAACATTCAGGTTTGTTCATACATATGTGAAAAGGTCCTTTTATTCATCCAGCACAGGTGGCTGTGCACAAACAGGCAATCATACACATACAGGCAATCATATCGAAACCAGTCACACTGGGTAGATTAAATGCACACATGTATTAGAGGGAGATATTTAATGGCTAGGTACAGGCATTCAAAAAGTTCGAGGTGGAATCAATCTAAGTTCATGGTTTTCTTTAAGTGGCACAGCTTAGATCAGTACTGAACAGAATACACATTCTCCCTTTGGCGTGGGGTGCAAATCTTAGGCTGGGCTGCACCATTTTTAAACCAGTCTACATGTGCTGAACTTCTGTTCTGTTATGGGCATAGACAGGTTTCTGATCATTTATACTGTAATGTCTGTCCCTGACCAATGCAGAATCTGCCGAACAGCAAACAAATTTATTTTGTATCTGTCTTCTTTAACCAGGAAGAAATCCAGCCATTTTAAAATCTGGGATCCATATACATAGTCAAATCTAATACTCGGGTCTTGCACAGAGGGAACAGAAATTTACTGAAAAGTTCCCAGTCATTATTTATTCTTCTCCATACACTGCTCTCCTCAAAGACATAATATCCCATGGATTTCTTCAGGAATGGCCCCTGTTTTCACTAATAGCTCATCCATGAGGCAACTTAAATGATTAATCTAAAATCCAACTCCTGAATGTTGAATACTCTATGAACTTACAGAAATAACAGTCTATGGAATTTGGCCCATGTTTGTGAACCACCCATGACCCAATCAGATTGCTCTTGAATATGTTCATTACAAATAATTCATCTCAAAATATTTAAAAATATGTTGCTCTATGAACCACAAAAAGTTTAACCAGTTCTAGAGGCATGCGTACACAAGCCCAAAGACTTCAGAGAACTAATAAAAATCAGCATGAAATGCACTGCAAAAGGAACTAGTACATTTTCTGATGAGAAAACCAAAAGGATGCAGTTTACAAAAAAAAATTAACATCTTTTCAAAAGAAAAATTATCCCATAGTCAAACCATAGAGCAAAAAACCGACTATGATTCTCTCTCAGAGCCCATAGAATTAATTCTTCTGATCCTGGGACACAAGGTCCAGCATTTGGCTCAGTAGTCAGACTTGATTTATTACTTCTAAGGTATTGGTATGGGTTGAATACTCCTTATTAAATTGTTATCCAGCAGGTTGTAAACTTACACCTCTTATCCCTAACTCGACAAACCTTACATATTAACACTGTCCTTAATCAACAAGATGACAAGCTACAATTTTTATGCTTACTGAAGTTGAACTAACTAATCAGTATAATACTAGATTTCAGATTGCTATCAATTTAAGCATGGAACGTTATGCTTTGATGTTTGGATTCAACAACCTGATCGCACTGGTGATTCAAACTATTCTAACTGTTGTTGTTGTTGATGCAAGAGGTCTGGGATTGGATATAGTTACTCAGGTAAGTGGTATCTTCACCTTACATTTACAGTTTTGTCTTGTGTATCTTAAATGTTTGTAAAAGAAATCTTGTGAATTCATGATTTCCATCTTAAATAATCCAATCTCATATTTTTTTAAAGAATAGAGCAAGGGAAGTTTAGGTTACATATTAGGAAGAATTTTCTCACTAGGAGGGTAGTAAAACACTGGAACAGGTTATCGAAAGAGGTTGTGGACTCTCCATCCTTGGAGGTTTTTAACACTCAGCTTGACAGATCCTTGACTTGGATAATCTAGTTGGGAATAGTCCTGCTTTGAGCAGGGGATTGGACTAAATGACCTCCTGAGGTCCCTTCCAACCCTAATTTTCTATGATTCCTCCAAGTTGGCCATAGTTCCTCTCCCTTGTCCTTCTATAGCAACAAACAAATATTTAGGATCTATTAAAATGCGCCTTTGATTTTTACAGGAAGCCCAAAACAATTCTTGATGAGCAGATAACATTGCCTAGGCAGTAACTGGTGATTTGTTAAGGTAGCAATACAACTACTGTATTTACTTAAATACAAGTCGAGACTTTTTTCCCCCAGTTGGCATGGGGGAAAAAACCCTCATCTTATAATTGTGTACAAGGAAATCTCACTAAATACATTGTCTGTCATTAAACTGCTGGCAAAAGCAGAATGTGCTTAGCAATGGAAACCAATTATGAAATTGATTAAAATCAGCCAACACTGAGCATGAGTATAAAACACACAGCCCACATTAGACAAACGTACTGATGGGAAGTGTGTGTGTGTGTGTGTGTGTGTGTCCATCCCTTAAAAAAATGGGTGGGTGTTTGCTCTACAGGGAAGTGGCACTAGGCCTGGATATACTGCCCTTGCACTGGTCATAAGTGTACTTCAATACCAGGCCATCACTGGGAGGGCTGGAGCCAGCCCTTTCACTCATCTTGTGGTGCAAAAAATGCTACATTTTATCTTAGCCACAAGACCAAGATGCTAATAGGAACCTACCACAAGAGTATGTTAGCATAGCCCATCAGGATGAGACATATGGCAGCACCCATTAAATGTAGTCCCCCTCAGTGCCAACTCTTTTTCAAGTCATGGTGAACCTCTATATTCCATACATTTTTACTTCCTCTTCATTCTCACAGCTGAGCTGTGCCTTTCTTTCCCATTTCCAATTATTCCTGTTTCTTTACCAGCCTTAAATGTCTGTCAAGCATCATGAAATGGGGCCCCAAACAGTTCACCCAGAATCCCTGTCACCCACTCTCTTAGCCTGACACACGTGATTGTAGTCCTTCCTTCCATAAGGTAAAGCTGGACTAGGTTGCCCTGCACCTCATCTGCATATAAATTGTTGGTGCATCCCAGGACTCATGACAAGAACACCCAGTTCTAGTCATGAGTGGGGTTACCTGACCCCCCAGATTTATTTTTGCTGCTGTAGTAGTGGGAGGGGGACAAATTCAAGGCAAATCTCCAATAATTAGATTCTATACTTGAAAAATTGTAACAAATGTATACATTTTCCATAGATAGAATGTAATCATTGGAGGTCATCTTATAAATCAGGGTTGTCTTCAACTGGAGTAAATACAGTAAATTAACTCTTCCTGCTAAGAAATTAAGCCCATCTCTGAGCATGAGGTGTGCTGACAGTTCAGCAGCACTGAGGCAGCATGGATTAATTAAAAAAAACAAACCCAACAAAACTAGGAGTAAGGAATGCTATTGCATTCCAATTGTAGCTCAGAGAGACCTGTTCTGTAGCTTAATGCAAATTACTGAAATTTTGTCTTATTTTCACCCATTTGGTTATTACTACTACTCTTTACCAAGGGGGGTGGTAATAAATAAATGTAGCTATCTAGTAAGGATATACACTGAGCAACTAACCCATTCCTGCCCCTAGTGAAATTTTGTTCAGTTTCAATGGAAATTGACACTCTAGCTATACCTTCATAAACTATTTTTACTCTTTGAAAACAGCATGAGTACAATGGTTTTTGGTTCACTGAAGAGAATAAGGAAGGAACTACCAGCATCTTAGAGGAAGAAGGAGAAAGTGGGGAGAACCACCAGAAAAGTGACATGAGAAAATTGATAGGATGTCTCAGTTATTTTGGTGCATGACAAAATTACAAGCACAGGGGTAGGCAAGCCTTGGTCTGAACTGAAGGCATTGCTCATGAAGGGAGTAGAATTATGGCACTCTAAGTATAAGTGATTTTTGCTGATACTGTCTGTGAGCATGTACATGTCATGCAACTGCTGTGCATTTAGGAGGGAAGCAACAATATACTGATAATGAAAGGTGGAGAAATGAAAAACAGACATTTCCAAAATGGTGGCAAGCCCTTGGTGTTGTCTTGTTCATGTAACAGTTTGTAGGATCAGCTATTGAAGTAGAGGCAAAGATGGAATCTCAAATATTTAACTGATTCTCCATGTTCCTGTAAAGTATTACTTTACAGTTTATTATTTTTCATTATAGTAAAACCCAACCCACCCTTTTTCTAATCAAGAGCAGCAAAAATTTTGCTTCTTGATCTATGTGCATCCTGCAAGGCAATGAGACTGCTCATTTCCTCTTTCACATCCCAAAATTAGACTATAAAATTCAGTACAGCACAGTTGCTGAACTGTGTACCCTGGGAGGAAAGGAAACAGGGGTATAATTTTGACATAAGCAAGGAAATTCTCAGTGTAAATCAACAGACGTTTGAAGATATGTTCTTGTTTTACAGTTTCAGCAACCGAGGTTCAAATGAACATGGTTGGAAGTGATACCTTATCATCAGGGATCTAGTTTTCCATGGAAAAAACAAAAAAAAACTCTGTTTATAGATTCATAGAAGTTAGGGGCTGGAAGGGACTTCAGAGATCACCAGGTCCAGCCCCTCTGCTCAAGGCTGGAAAGACTGCTGAGGTCAGATTACCCCAGTGAGGTGTACATCCAGCTGTCTTTTGAAGATCCCCAGGGAAGGTGATTGTACCACCTTTGGGGGGAGTCTATTCCAGACTCTGGACACACGAACCATAAAGAAGTTTTTCCTAATGTCTAATCTGAAGCGATCCTCTATCAGTCTATGACCATTATTCCTAGTCTTCCCCTGGGGTGCCTTCATGAACAGGTGTTCTCTTAGCCCCTGATATACACCCTTTATATACTTAAAGGCTGCCACCAAGTCCCCTCTGAGTCTTCTCTTCTCCAGGCTGAACAGTCCCACATCCATCAGCCTCTCCTCATATGGTCTGTTCTCCAGACTTCTAGTTATTCATGTGGCCCTCCTTTGGACTCTTTCCAGCTCATCCACACCCCTCTTGAACTGCAGCCCCCAGAACTGGACGCAGTATTCCAGCTGCAGCCTCACCTCTGTTGAGCAGAGCAGGAGGATGACATTCTTAGTCTTGCTTTTGATGCATCAGTTGATGCATGCTAGAGTTTTGTTCGCTTTGCCGGCTATAGCATCGCACTGGTGGCTCATGTTCATTTTATGATCAGTCGTGACCCCTGGATCTCTTTCGGCTGTGGTGCTGGCTAATGTAGCACCACCAAGCCTATAAGTATGTTGTGGGTTATTTCTCCCCAGATGGAGGACTTTACATTTCTCAGCATTAAACATCATCAGGTTAAGATCCACCTACTTTACAAGCCTGTCCAGGTCAGCCTGTCTTCCAGCATGACCACACTTCCCCATACCTTGGTGTCATCCGTGAACTTTGCCAGTGTGCTTTTCACACCCGTGTCCAAATCATTGATGAAAATGTTGAAAAGCACTGGTCCAAGTACTGAGCCTTAAGCAACACTCCTGGTCACCTTTCACCACGGTGACTTGGTTCCATCAATTAACACTCTCTGGGTCTGACCTCAGAGCCAGTTTCCTAGCCACTGGACCATTAAGTTGTTAAGGATGCAACTTGCCAATGTTACCATGAGGACATTGTGGGAGACCAAGTCAAAGGCCTTTTTGAAATCCAAGTATATAACATCGATCTCATCTCCCTTATCCAGGTGGCAAGTTACCAGATTGTAGAAGGATATTAGGTTGGTCAGGCATGACCTGCCTGCAACAAAGCCATGTTGGCTGTGATTTAGAATACTTTCTTTCTGTTAGCCTATCAATGATGGATTCTTTGATAAATTTTTCCATGATTTTTCCAGGGATTCAGGTCAGACTGATTGGCCTATAATTCCCTGGGTCCTCCTTCCTTCCTTTCTTGAAGATAGACACAACATTGGCCTTCTTCCAGTCTTCTGAGACCTCACCCGAACAGTATGAGTTCTCAAATAGTTTTGCCATCAGTCGTGCAATAACGTCAGCCATTTTTTTCATCACTCTAGAGTGTAGTTCATTGGGACCTGCTGACTTGTAGATGTCAAGCCTCTTTAGGTGTTCCCTCACAAGATCTTCACTGATTATAGGTGGGTGATCACCAGTCACCCCCACATTGTCCATCCAACTTTCTGTCTGGCAAATCAATTTCCTTGTCTGGTAGAATACCAATGCAAATTATTCATTTAAGAGTTCAGTTTTCTCCTGAGTGTCAGTTGTCTGCTGTCCCACTGCATTCTGCAGGGGTCCTATGTTTCCTTTTAAAATGCAAAAAATCTGCATTTTTCCATGACTTACAAAAATGCAGTGGCATCCCATACAGGGCAGCACCATTTCTGCACTCGCATTTTTGCCATGGTTTTTGCACTTCCCCCCACAGCTGATTAGCCAAGAGACAAAAACCACAGCAAAAAGAAGAGAAAGCAGAAATGGTACTGCTTGCTGTGAGATACCACTACACTTTCAGTAGCTTGTGGAAAAATGCAGATTCCTCATTTTTCTGTGGTCTTCCATGGCAAACAGACAACTAGAATTCCTGCTTATTATGTTATAGAATACAATATCATATTAACTATAGCATGGAGGCAAACTGATCTCGAATTCTCCAATCTTAGGTCATATATCCATATTCATTCACCTCAGTGTCGCAGGGCACTAAGGTGCCTGCTCCTGTAAGAGCAGAAATTGCCTGGGGAGAGAGCCCAAAGAGCCAGACAGGAGCTGTAGGTGTGGGTTACCATGGCAACAGGCTAATGAGAAAATTAGCCTGCACCCTCACCTGGTCAGCTAGACGGAATAGGCAGGGCCCTGGTCTCATATAAACCCCAGGGCTGGGACTAGGGACTTGAGTTCCCTGCAAGCAGCCGAAGGGGAAGGAGCATCCAGGGAGGAATGGCCCAGAGATGCTAAAACTACCTGATATGCTGCACTTAGGACTAATGAGGTACCCTTGCCTACTAGGCACTTAGTGCCAGGGAAGACACTGGATTCTTTTAAAAGGGGCAGAGCACACCCTGAACTTTGGTGTTATGGTATAGCCCAGGGGCAAAAGTTTTGTTTGCTGTTTTATAATACCGGAGGATTGGGCTGAGGCTACTGGGGAAGGAGGAGGTCTCATTGGGGACCCACTGCAGTGTGGGAAACCCCAGCACCAGTGTGAGTGCAGTGACAAGGGGGAGAGCAGACCCCAGCACCAGAGGGCGCAGTGACAAGGGGGAGAGTGGACCCCAGTGCCAAAGGGTGCAGTGATGAGGGGAAGAGCAGACCTCAGCACTAGAGACTGCAGTGATGAGGGGGAGAGTGAACCTCAGTGCCAGGTGGCGCCATGACAAAGGGGGAGAGCGGACCCCATCACCAGAGGGCGCAGTTGCGGAGGCTGGACTAAGCTGAGGCCGCAACTCAAAGAGACAACATTGGTATGACATCTGCGAGGCTTGGGGCATGGTAAAGGGGCAGTTTTGGAGCCACACATCTAGTCCATAAGGCTGAGGGTGTCCCAGGAGGCACCCATTTTGAGCGGGATCCAAAACAGGATCCGAGAATTCATGAGGTTCAGGGGGGTCCAGCAGGACTGTGTCCAGACAATAAGATCAAGGGCAGCCTCCCTATATTATAATTATGAGCAAAGACGTGGCAAACAAGAAAGAGGGTGCCCATTGGGCTAGACTGACCTAGTCAAGGGGACCTAGGAGCATCACTGCCATCCCTGAGGATTCCATCCCATGACACTCATTTGCAACATAAAGTAGCAGCTCTGATGGTTGCTCTTATTTACAAAGTGGGTCTAGACCCCAGTGAGCCATTCCAGTACCTGGAATCATCTGAGATTAAAAGTTTCCTTCAGTCCTTTTAAGGTGCCAGGGATAAATAGGAGAATGGCACAGGAATCACTATGGTAGCTGCAAAAGATCCCCTGATGTCTGGCAAGCTATTCAAATGATGATATTTAATTCCAATTAAGGTTGTACTTGGAAAATAGGGAGGAACACAACTGTGAAATCAATATATTTTAATGATCAGACAAGATTTGCTTCCCTAATACTGTACAGATTTCACTAATTGTACTTTTTTATTTTAGTTTCTAATTTATGGCAGCTACTTTGCAGTCATAGCTGGGATTTTCTTGATCAGAAGCATTTGCACAATTGTTTCAATCAAATGCAGAAAGAAAATACTGTGCATTTCCAGAGAATCTGGAGGTCAGAAAATGATGGAATATGGATCTAAAGAGCATATTATCAGTGGCTATACAACACAACTATAACTTACCAGACAGGCACATCTTCCAGGTCAAGTCCTGCTTGCAAGACTCTAATTGAAGTCAACTAGAGATAGCAATGAGAAAAAGATCATGACTTACCAATAGGTATATGGCACCTGTTAAATTTACTCTAAGCAAAAGTGTTGTGTTAAGATACATTGGGCCAGATGATCACACACAATCACACACCCCACAAACACTGCACCCACCTATACCCTCCCCTCCACATGCAGCCCCACACACATATCCCTGCTCACTGTTATGCATGCACACACCCCCCCACATGTACCCACACCCACCCAGGCATACCCCACACCCACCCCCACACACTCCCAGCTACCCTCCCCCTCCACACACCCCACAAACCACAAACCACAAACATACCTCTTATACCTACCCACCCACATCTACATATACCCCCATACTCTCCCCCACACCCCACATACACACACATCCATGCACATTCCCAAAGCCCCCCCCCACCCATGCACACACCCCCACCCCTCCACATCCCCTGCAATATATAAGAGTAATACTTAATTTTGAGCTATTATGCAATCACCTCTATATATGCAACAGAAACACACAAATGAGGACCAAAATATTTTTTTTTAATTAAATTAAAATATGTTATTGTTGTCAGTGTTTGATTTTTAGTATATAGTTTGTTTGGGTTTTTTTGGTTCCATGATGGCAAACCCCCTTACCAAAAGGAGTACTTCTGCGGGCAAGGGGAGGGACTTCTGGTGGCAAAGTTCAGGGGTTAGGAGATGGCAACCAGGAGGTGGGGCACCTGTCAAGGGATGGGGCTACCCTTGCGGCCCTTGACAGCTCACTAAAACTGATTAAGTGGCACTTCAGCCGAGATAATTGCCTGTTCCTGGTCTAGTTAATGATTTGGAGAATGGAATTGAGTGCACGGAGAGTCAATTTGCAGCCAACACTAAGCTGGGTGGAGGTGCATAGGCAGTAGAGCTGTGCAGACAAGCAACAGTATTAACTTTTAATACGTGACTACTCACAAAACATTTTAACTTTAACACCATTTAATGTTCCACAGATTATGTAGGGTCTAAGTATAATGTGCAGCTTCAAAGGACCAATGTCAAGTTGTGTGTTTAACACAAGAGCACACGCAGGTAAGGGCTGTAGGAAGATTCCTTGGCTTCAGGGATATTCCACTTCAAGACTGGGAGTCTGTACGTAAATGTCTGCTTAAATAGAGAAAGAAGAGATATGCAAAGGAAACCATTGGTGTATGAATGTATTTTTCTCACCTTGAGAGTGGCTGGCCATTCAGAGGGTGACCCAGGCCAGATTCAGAGGGTTACCTGGGCCCCACCGTGGGGGCTGGCTGCAGACCCACAATCCCCTGCAGTGCCTCTGAGCTGGCCCAGGTACCCCTGTGCCTGGCTAGCTGCCAGCTGCACGTGCTGGGCTGGGCTAGGCTGCGGTGCTGACAGGGCTGTGTCCCCATCACTGAGCTGCACCTACTGGGGGTGGCCCTGCCCCTGCAGCATGACCCAGCCCCACCATGCAGCTGCCTCAGCTGGAGCTGAGCGAGGGCAGCCTGGGCTTTGGGGGCAGGGCCACCTGCTGCAGCTGTGGCTCAGTTACAGCCACTCCCTGCATCCCGGCTGGGCCGCCTGGACAGTACCTCAGAGCCCCCACTTCCCACCATGAAGCAGCAGGAGCCTGAGGGAGGAGGTGAAGGGCAGAAGAGTAACCCCTGGAACTGAACAGAGTACCCCTCCCTGCCCCATGGTAGAGGAGGCGCAGAGGGAAGAGTCCCCCTCAGAGGCCGGGCAGCCTTGCATAGAGGCCTTCTCCCATCCCCACAGTGGTGGTGGGGAGGAAGAGGAAGAGGAGTCTTTCAGCACTGCACAGAGCCCTCTCCCGCCATGGGAGGGGAAGGAGGAGGGGGAAAGTCCTCACCCCCAGCACAGACAGTGTACTAACTAACAGAACAGAGCCCAGACATGGCCCCATTAAGGTAAAGGGGGCAGGGAGAAGCCCCAGAGGCCACTGTCACAGCCCCTTCTCTGCTCCCTGGCAGACAAGTGGACCCCAGCTACAGTGGGGAGGAGGCAAGAATTAACCCCCTTCCTCCCCTTCTGCCCACTTCGCCTTAATGGGGCCATGCCGGCCAGTGTCTTGTCAGGTCCCATCCCTGCTTGGGCTAGAGAACAGAGGGGAGGGGCCAGCCCTGCTCTGTAGCAAAGGGCACAGCCCAGCCCAGAGAGCATGCTGGGATGCTGGAGGACTCTGGTTTAAGTTAAACTAGGAAGGGGTCTGGGACAGACATTGCATAAACTGGTTTGAGCTCAATCAGTTAAAGTCTAATATTACATTCAACCAGATTTATCTCAAACTGGTTCCAGCCATTTTGAAACTGGCTTATGTGCGCTGAATGTCTGTCCTGTTACAGGTTTAAACCAGTTTCTGATCACTTAAACCAGTTTATGTGTAATGTCTGTCTCTAGCCCTACTGTCAGACACCAGAAGCTTCTGAAGCTACAGAAAGATTTCATTCGGCAGAACACATCTATAGCCAAGGAGAGAGGAGAATTTCAAATATAATAAGCACCTGGTTTTAGCCATCACAAATTAACCACTTTATTGGGACCCCTCCAATACTGTGGAGGAAGAGCCAGGATTTTCCCCTGAATTATTCAGTTGCTCGGGGGAGATGTGGTGAGTTATAGAACCTACCCCAGTCAGTAGTACAAGAACAGTTACTGTCCAAAGGATTGTTCTGTTACCTACAGAGAGGAATTTGGCAGTCCCAGCCCACCTACCAAAGGAAAACTGCTGAGATCAAAATTTGTGTGATAGTTCTGACATTTTGATAACACTTAATTCTAATGGAAAGTTGAGACTTTGGTTCATGGAAGGGGATCTGCTTTTCACAGGAAAATACATTCTTTTTTCCATAAAAATGCCTCCATTTCAAAATACTTTGATTCTAGAATAGTTCCATGGCATCCCATGGGTGATGGAGCTCAAATGTCTCTGCTATGTTCTCCAGTTGGGCTACATTTCCTCTAAGACATTGTAGATATGAACATGGGACTGTTATGTCTAACCTTCTAAACCACTCACCCAAAGAAGCAGCTGTAAAAAATCATGGAAAACATGGTCCAACCAGAAGATAAACAGAACAAGGCTACTGAATTACAGCTCCCAGGAAGCACGTTGGTGGCACTTCAGAAGTGACATTTTGATTTTTCATCAAAAACAGTTTCCTGTAGAAAATGGACAAACTAAATATTTGTCAGATTTTTCCACAGGAAAAGAAATCTGACCTGCTCTAGTTATAGATGAAAATTGTAGGGCCTCAAAGAATCCTGTTACAATTTTTAAACACCAGGGGCATTTATACATGTGCTCCAGGAGTGGGGGGGAGGGGGGACTTTAATTAAAGTATGTCTGAGAGCTGCTCTAATTAAAGCAGCCAGACCATCTCATGTATTAGTGCCCCCATGCTTAAAAGTTGCAGCAGGGACACTAACTAAAACTCCTCAAACAAGCTTTAGCTAAAGTGCCCCTGCCACCATTTTTAAGCATGGTGATGCTGATACACAAGACGCTGGAGTCTGCTGGAGCGTGGTAATTACTATGCTCCAGCAGACTCAATTAATGGAGTTTGCTCTAATGCACTATAATTACAACTCATTGGAACAGCCTCATTGCTCATGTATAGGCACCCTAGAATTGTCTTTCTTCACAGAGAGGAAGAGAGCTGGGTGAGCATGGACACAGAGTAACCTTCTGGTCTAGGCTGACATACTGGAAGCTTGGGTTGATATGGGCTGTCTTTACAAATCTGTGCTCTACCTAGTCCATGGACAAATCAAAAGCTGTCACAAGCTAGCGCCTTTCAGAAGCACTGATGTTCCACGCACACAAAAGCCAGGTCATTTTCAGGTCAGTTTTTCATTTGTGAATTAATCAATAGCCAATGTCAGACTTAAATCTTTAACTTAATATTAATTCAGCTTGTAGACAAACACTTTTTGTTTGCAGTCCATCTGGTATTTCCCCTAGTATAATATAATATTGTCTTAATAAAGACATGAGTAAAATTTGCAGAAGTTTAGGAATTTAAATCCTATTTTTACTAATGGCAGAAATTTTGCAGAAGTTTAGGAATTTAAATCCTATTTTTACTAATGGCAGAAATTTGGGCATTAGTATCCAAGTTACTCAAGTCCCAGTGAAACTTTTACAGAATGATTTTGTCTTTAGGGTTGCCCCCTTTGAATCCCACATTCCTCACTAACCAAACAAAACAAATCTGTCAGCAAAAAAAATCCCTTCCTAGTGATACATAAAGCAATAACTCACCACTGATCACACTACTCATGTTTTATAATCAAATTAATAAACAAAGAGGCAGATGAGTTTTCTGCAGAGGTCTGAATTTCAGGAGGAAAAATAAGGATCCTTCCTTTCAGAGTCAACCCGAGCAGGGTGTGGGGCGCAGGGCAAATCAGCCCATGTGGAGCCCTGCCCCTGCTCCGATCCCACAAGCCCCAGATCTGAAGAAGCGGCAGGAGCAGTTGGGGGAGGGAAAGGGAGGGTAGCAAGCAGCTGGAGACAAAGCCGGGGCAGTGGTGCAGAGTCACTGTAGCCACTTCACCCAGCTCCGCGGGACCCCCCAAAGCATGGGGCCTGGGGCAGTCACCCTGATTCACCCTTCCTCCCCCCTCAAGGACAGCCCTGCAGTGGAGTCTCTCTACTTAACACATTTGAAAGAAAAATAGTATTCAAATGCTAATAGTAACCATACACCCTCTAAAAATGCTTTGAGAGCTTGTACAATAAAGATTATGCTTATATTGCTTAATCAAAAAAAAATGCAAGACATGAATAAATGGGTATTCTTTGGTGCCAAGGTATATATGTGTGTTGCTAAAGCAAAATGCAGGCATCTGAAGGAATGCAACTGAAAATTTTAATATTATAAAAGCCTAAGTCTTTCTGTCTTTCTGTAATGCTTTATTTGTGCTCTGATTGGCTGACAAACAGCCAATCAGAGTGCAAACAAGTGTTCCAACAGGAGCTGGTGGAGCTCCCTGCAGGTGGCAAGGATGGAGCGGAGGGGGGGCAAGACCACCTTGCAGGTGACGGTGGCCGTTATGAGAGTGAATTCATGCCCAAGCAAATAATACCAAAAATCGTCTATGCCCCACTTTATGGCGAGACATTCCTATTCGACGGTTGCATACCTCCTTTCTTGTGGGTTCAGCTTTCAGTTGGCATAGGCTACAGGCTGGGAGACTCCATTGACCTCCTGGGACAGGACTGCACCTAAGGC